AAAGAAAACATCAGTAACACATATAACTAACAAAAATTTATTCCAAGTATACACAGTGCCTACAGATCGGTAAGAAAGGAAAAAAAACAAAACCAAAAAAACAAAAACGCTGAGAGAATAAATAGCCAAGGGATATGTATGAAAAGGTAAATCAAAGGAAATACAAATTACAAATTAACTTGAGAAGATGCTCAAAGATATTAGCAGCTAGAAAAACACAATCCCTATCAAAACACCAACAGATTTTTCAAAGAAATAGAACAAACAATCCTAAAATGTGTATGGAACCACAAAAGACCCCAACTAGCCAAAGCAGTCTTGAAAAGGAAAAACAAAACTGGAGGTATCACAATTCGAGATTTCAAGAATCCCTACAAAGCTGTAGTGATCCAAACAGTGCAGTACTAGCACAAAACAGATGTATGAATCAATGGAATGGAAGATAGCACCCAGAAATAAGCCCACAGTTATATGGTCAACGAATCTTTGACAAAGGAGGCCGGAATATGCAAGAGGGAAAAAGTTCCCTCAACCCAATGGTAGTCGAGCTAGGGCTAAGCACTTATTTCTTTCCAGGACTTTCTAGTTCTTAAATTTTATGCTTGTATTTGATTATAGATATGAGTGACATTTCATGGTTTCAAAAGTCCTTGATGCTCTGAGAAGTGTAGAGTCTAGTGAAAATTACATCGCCATAAAAGAAATGTGTTTTGGGGGCACCTGGGTGGCTCAGTGGGTTAAAGTCTCTGCCTTCAGCTCAGGTCATGATCTCAGGGTCCTGGGATCGAGCCCCACATCGGGCTCTCTGCTCAGCAGGGAGCCTGCTTCCCCCCCCCCTCTGCCTGCCTCTCTGCCTACTTGTGATCTCTCTCCGTCAAATAAATAAATAAAATCTTTTTTAAAAAATGTGTTTTGTTTTTGTTTCCTTTTTAAAAGTTGTACTATTATTGGTTCTACACTCCCTAGAATACTACTGCTTTGTGAAAGTCCAACTGGATGCAGCGCCCTCCTTGTATTTAGTACATTTGTAAGCCTGGGTCTCTTACTACTTGATATGTTTGCATTAGTTAAGAGAGAAACTTGGTAGCTTGGTAGCTCAGTTAGAGGGAAGGGGTAATCTGCTGCTAGATGGGTCTGAACTGAGCCATACTCCTCTGGGTAAGAGTTGGAAAACATAACCTCTGTACATTAAAAAAAAAAATTAGTGGAACATCACATAGTAGGCAGCCATTAAATTATTTAAAAAGTTAATTTATGGGGTGCCTGGGTGGCTCAGTGGGTTAAAGCCTCTGCCTTCGGCTCGGGTCATGATATCAGGGTCCTGGACTTGAGCCCCGCATCCTGCTCTCTGCTCAGCGGGGAGCCTGCTTCCCTCTCTCTCTGCCTGCCTCTCTGCCTACTTGTGATCTCTGTCAAATAAATAAATAAAATCTTTTAAAAAAAAGTTAATTTATGAAGAAAGACCTGTACAGATTGGGAAAAAAAGATTTTCACGGAGATAACTGTATGATCAAGAGAGTTAACTTTTTATTTTTGCTTTACTAGTGCTACAAACTTGCCAGGGGTAACTTGTTTGGTTCAGGAAAACTGTGGTTTTCTTTCCTAGGATTTGTTGCTAAATGCCAAAAGACATTTTTGAACTGTACATTTGATCAGATTGTTGGCTTTTTCTGTTTTCCTTCTTTTGAAAACCCTGACTAAAAACATCTGAAATTTTTTTTTTAAATGGTGTTGGGAAAACTAGTCGAAAGTATGCAAAAGAGTGAAAATGGACCACTTTCTTGCACCAGACACAAAGATAAACTCAAACTTTATTTCACTAGGCAAGGGAGAAGAATTTGAGTTAGTAACTGACCCTGGCTCCTAATGAGTAAGTCCAGGGAACAAATAAATAGCTAGGAGATTGGGGCGCCTGGGTGGCTCAGTGGGTTAAAGCCTCTGCTTTCGGCTCAGGTCATGATCCCAGGGTCCTAGGTTCGAGCCCCGCATCGGGCTCTCTGCTCAGCAGGGAGCCTGCTTCCCCTCCTCTCTCTCTGCCTGCCTCTCTGCCTATTTGTGATCTCTGTCTGTCAAATAAATAAATAAGATCTTTAAAAAAAAATAACTAAGAGATCAGTGATTTCTAATGTAACATCCCGAAGGGAGGAAGAGCAGGGAAGAACTAGATCCAATTCTGATGAGAGGTGGTGAGAAATCCTTGCAAAAAGACTGAAACTTCATCACAGAGAAGAATTGCCCACAAGCTACCTGCTCAGGGGAGAGCTTGGGAGGGCACCGTCCTCCTCTGCTTCTCTTTGAATAAGTAACTGAGATTGTGCACTCAGTAGCAGCAAAGCCAGGGCCCAGGTGGAATCAGGATCATTACATCCTTAACCTAGCCGGAATCGCTAACATCACATTTGTAATCAACAGACACCCTCCCACCCCAGAGCCAACAGTAAGAGATCATAAGCAGACAGGAGTTTGTTTCTACCACTTCCTTCTCTAAACATTACATCCAAACCAAACTGCCTCTTTGCCTTTTTAGAGGCAGCTACTGAACGCATACATGGATGGGGTCAGGAAGGATTAGAAAATACTGTATTTCTTGCCCTTAACTCCTGTAATCAATTCATGGGCTAACAGAAAAAACTAGAATAAGATTTTTTTAATTTTTTATTCATCCATTCTTTTATTTAATATTCACTGATACAAGCACTATTTTAAGTGGGGGTCAGGATATAACAATAGATAAGATAGAGTTCATGTTCCTCAAAAAAACAAACAAACAAAAAAAAAAGAACTAGGAAAAATGGCCAACAGACACATGAAAAAGTGCTCAACATCACTCGACATCAGGGAAATACAAATAAAAACCAGAGTGAGATACCACCTCACACCAGTCAGAATGGCTAAAATTAACAGGTCAAGAAATGCAGATGCTGGTGAGGATGCAGAGAAAGGGGAACCCTCCTACACAGTTGGTGGGAATGCAAGCTGGTGCAGCCACTCTGGAAAACAGCACTCTGGAAAACAGGTTCCTCAAAAAGTTGAAAATAGAGCTACCCTACGACCCAGCAATCGCACTATGGGGTATTTATCCTAAAGATACAAATGTAGTGATCTGAAGAGGCACGTGCACCCGAATATTTATAGCAGCAATGTCCACAATAGCCAAACTATGGAAAGATGTCCATCAACAGATGAATGGATAAAGAAGAAGTGGTGTGTATATACAATGGAATACTATGCAGCCATCAAAAAATGAAATCTTGCCATCTGCAACAACGTGGATTGAACTAGAGGGTATTATGCTAAGCAAAATAAGTCAATCAGAGAGTGTCAATTATCATATGATCTCACTGATTTGAGGAATTTGAGAAACAAGACAGAGGATCAGAGAGGAAGGGATAGAAAAATGAAACAAGATGAAACCAGAGAGGGAAGCAAACCTTAAGAGACTCTTGGTCTCAGGAAACAAACTGAGGGTTGCTGGAGTGGAGGGGGGTGGGAGGGATGGGGTGGCTGAGTTATCAACATTGGGGAGGGTATGTGCTACGGTGAGTGCTGTGAACTGTGTAAGACTGATGAATCACGGACCTGTGTCCCTGAAACATATAATACACTATATGTTAATTTTTTTAAAAACTGAGAGAAAGGTAAGAGATTGTAATCCAGCATCATCAGCAGTACAGTACAGAATGATGGTCCCCTTCAGTATTCTCTCCTACGTCTTTTAAACAGCACCTTCCCTCCCTATCTATCTCCAAACCCTACTTTTTAAAAATATTTTATTTATTTATCAGATAGAGTGAGAGTGAGAGTGAGTGAGCACAAGCAAGGGAGCGGCAGGCAGAGGGAGAAGCAGGCTCCCCACTGAGCAGGGGGCCCGATGTAGGACTCGATGCCAGGACCCTGGGATCATGACCTGAGCCGAAGGCAGACACTTAACCGACTGAGCCACCCAGGCATCCCTCTCCAAACCCTACTTAAGAGAAATAACCAAGTTTTTCTCATTTTTGAGGCATTCATGCCTAAAATAATTTGGGAATCAAGCACATAAATGGCTTCTGTAAACTTTCCTCAGATTGACCACTATTGTGAAATTAACCTGCAAATCACACATCCACAACATGGAAAAGATATGGTCATATATCAGTTTATTCAACCACATCTATGCACGCCTAGAAAAATTAAATTCAGCCAAGGCCAGGTCTTTAAGTGGTGAAGAGCTGAGAAGCAGAAAGCACCACCCTGTTCTCATCCTCTTTCTACAACTTAGGTTCTCACTATTAGCATTATCCTTTAGAATATAGCTTTCTTCGTGAAGGGCCACCATTAGGATAAAAATATATTATGAGGAATAAGTAACATGCCAACTTCCTAGCACACATCAAAAACACCTATGGGGGGGGGGCCTGGGTGGCTCAGTGGGTTAAAGCCTCTGCCTTCAGCTCAGGTCAAGATCTCAGGGTCCTGGGATCAAGCCTTGCATCAGGTTCTTTGCTTGGCAGGGAGCCTGCTTCCCCCTCTCTCTCTGCCTGCCTCTCTGCCTGCTTGTGATCTCTGTTTGTCTGTCAAATAAATGAAGTCTAAAAAACAACAACAAAAAAAAAAAAAAACACCTATAACACATGAGCAATAGTATATACCTGTGCAGATTTCGTCAGTTCGGACCATAACATAGAGGAAAGGTACACTTTTGACAGAAATGGTGGGAATGGGGAATGAAGGAGGCAGCATAAGTCACTACAGTAAGAAGTACTACAAAAAAATTTGTATTTCCCAAATGATCCTAGATCTGATCTTTAAACTGTTAGGATAATATCTAAATGTTCTCAAGGAGAGTCCAGCAACAAATCTTCAGTTCCCAGGGAAGCTGCACTAATCTTACATCGAATGCTATGTCCTAGAAGGTTCAGCATTCACCAAATACATGCTCATGGTCATCTGAGCACCCAGAGGCCTGCTCCCTCTTGTGAGGGAGCCTTACCACAGATCTGACTCCCTCAAAGTCTGACCTTCTTACAGATCCACGGTAAAGAAACTTCACAGCTAGAGGCTTGGAGACCGTTTCCATTGATGGCTCCACACTTCTGGATCAAGTTGTTTAAAATGATGCTGTAAGAAATCAGGAAAGTCAATCACTTAAGGTAACATGAGAGCAAAGTAGCTGCAAGGCATGGAAGAGTTAAAAACCGGGCAGTTCTTTCTCCCTATTCAGGCCCCACTTCTCTCAGCTCCCAGAACATTAGCCTCTCTTTTTATCGTTGTTGTCGGGGGTTTTTTTGTTGTTGGTTTTGGTTTTTTGGTTTTTTTAGTTTGGGGGGACTGGCTCTTATCCACTATTCATTTCCTCTCCTGTTCTCTAGTTCCTTTCCTTACCCTTTCCTCTCCTCACCGTCTGTTAACCTTGACCTATTTCCCCATCACATACTTTCTCTTCTCCTTTTCTCTTTTTTCCCCATTGTTTTGAACCCCCTTACCTTGAGATGTTTAGGGGTGACCCATCTCCCCACCTCCAGCCAGCTTTGTTCCTCAGACCAATCCAGTAAAAATCATCTTTGAGGAACTGTTTAACCAGGCTCTAGGGAGAGATTGAAGATGATGGAAAAAGGTAAGAAAATGTAGGAAACCAAAGAAGTGATTCAGTGTCATGATCAATAATTATTCTTTACACCCCCTCTCATTACCATTATTATAGACTGAATATTTATTTCTCTCCAAAATTCATATATTGAAGCTCTAACTTATAACATGATGGTACCTGGGCATATGGCCTTTGGAAGGTTATTAGTTTTAGACAAGGTCATGAGGCCCTCACTAATGATGAGATTAGTGTCCTTGTAAGAAGAGGTCCCAGTGCACTCTCCCTCTATCAGGAAAGGACACAATTAGAGGGCAGCTGTCTGCAAGCCACAAACAAGATCCTCACCAGAGACGTAACCCATCAACATTTTGATCTTGGACTTCCCAGCCTCCAAAACTGTGAGACATCAGTGTCTGTGGTTTAAGCCACCCAGTGATATTCTGGCAAGCATTTCAAGCTGACTAAACCACCACCTAGTCCAAATAACTAATCCCTCTTTTAAACTCTAATTCTAGAGTTACACTGCAGAGTGCAACATTTCCTATAATTCAACTTAATATGGATAATTGCATTCTATAGCATGAAAGACATTATACTCTGCCTTCCACTGTAACTTCCTCGGTTAGATGAAGTACTTAATAGGTATTCAAATAACTTTTACAGAAGAAAAGCTTAATACCACTATGGAAGCAGTCATCTTTCTCATTATCATTTAATACAAAATTTATTATTAAGCTTGTATCAATATACTTGCTTTTTTCCCACTACACTCCCATTTTTCAAGTTCTCATCAATCTTGCATATGACAAGTAAAATAAAAACAGTTCTTAAGGAAACAAGCATAAGACAAAATTAAGTTGGTCCCGTGCTACCACTAGAACAGTGATAACAGATTCTTTGCTCTCTACAGTCTGACATTCAAATGAAGGAGTTATACTCTGAGGTAATTGCCTCAATAAGTGGCATAAAATAAAGGATAAATCCCAGAAGATTAATTATATTGTAGGATTTGGTGTTAATGTAATGAATAGACTTTGCAATAAACATCTTCAGCTTTGAAAATTTCTTTTGTTACAGAGACTTTTCTTGTGATGCTGAATTTTCAGTTTGATGTTAATGTTAACAAGTAACGTGTTTCTTCGTGAGCAAGAAGGATAAAATTGTAAGTCTGAAGACCAATCTATTGATGGGAAACAGTTACATATAACATAAGAAACTCACATCCAAATCTGCAAAGAAGTCAAATTATCACTCTTCGCAGATGATATGATACTTTGTGTGGAAAACCCAAAAGACTCCACTCCAAATCTGCTAGAATTTGTACAGGAATTCAGTCAAGTGTCAGGATATAAAATCAATGCACAGAAATCAGTTGCATTTCTTTACACCAAAAACAAGACAGAAAAAAGAGAAATTAAGGAGTCAATCCCATTTACAATTGCACCCAAAACCATAAGATACCTAGGAATATACCTAATCAAAGAGGCAAAGAATCTATATTCAGAAAACTATGAAGTACTCATGAAAGAAATTGAGGAAGACACAAAGAAATGGAAAAATGTTCCATGCTCATGGATTGGAAGAACAAATATTATGAAAATGTCTATGCTACCTAAAGCAATCTACACGTTTAATGCAATCCCTATCAAAATCCCATCCGTTTTTTGTTGTTTTTTTTTTTTTCAAAGAAATGGAACAAATAATCCTAAAATGTATATGGAACCAGAAAAGACCTCATATAAGGAGAGGAATATTAAAAAAGAAAGCCAAAGTTGATGGCATCACAATTCCAGACTTCATGCTCTATTACAAAGCTGTCATCATCAAGACAGTACGGTACTGGCACAGAAACAGACACATAGGTCAATGGAACAGAATAGAGAGCCCAGAAACAGACCCTCAACTCTATGGTCAACTAATCTTCAACAAAGCAGGAATGAATGTCCAATGGGAAAAAGACAGTCTCTTCAAAAAGTGGTGTTGGGGAAATTGGACAGCCACATGCAGAAAAATGAAACTGGAACATTTCCTTACACCACACATGAAAATAGACTCAAAAAAGGGAGGCCTGGGTGGCTCAGTGGGTTAAGCCACTGCCTTCAGCTCAGTTCCTCGGGTCATGGGATAGAGTCCTGCATCGGGCTCCCTGCTCGGCAGGGAACCTGCTTCTCTCGCTGCCTCTGCCTGCCTCTCTGCCTGCTTGTGTGTACTCGCTTGCTCTCTCTCTCTTTCTCTGGCAAATAAGTAAAATCTTAAAAAAAAAAAAGAAAAAGAAAAAAAAAAAAGAAGAAAATAGACTCAAAATGGATGAAGGACCTCAATGTGAGAAAGGAATCCATCAAAATCCTTGAGAACACAGGTAGCAATCTCTTCGACCTCACCCATAGCAACTTCTTCCTAGAAACATCACCAAAGGCAAGGGAAGCAAGAGCAAAAATGAACTATTGGGACTTCATCATGATCAAAAGCTTTTGCACAGCAAACAGTTAACAAAACCAAAAGACAACTGACAGAATGGGAGAAGATATTTGCAAACAACACATCAGATAAAGGGGTAGTATCCAAAATCTATAAGAACTTATCAAACTCAACACCCAAAGGACAAATAATCCAATCAAGAAGTAGGCAGAGGACATGAACAGACACTTCTGCGAAGAAGACATTCAGATGGCCAACAGACACATGAAAAAGTGCTCAACATCACTCGACATCAGGGAAATACAAATCAAAACCACAATGAGATACCACCTCATACCAGTCAGAATGACTAAAATTAACAAGTCAGGAAATGCAGATGCTGGTGAGGATGCAGAGAAAAAGGAACCCTCCTACACTGTTGGTGGGAATGCAAGCTGGTGCAACCACTATGGAAAACTCCATGGAGGTGCCTCAAAAATTGAAAATAGAGCTACCCTACAACCCAGCAATTGCACTACTGGGTATTTACCCTAAAGGTATAAATGTAGTGATCCGAAGGGGCACGTGCACCTGAATGTTTATAGCAACAATGTCCACAATAGCCAAACTATGGAAAGAAACCTAGATGTCCATCAACAGATGAATGGATAAAGAAGTGGTATATATATACAATGGAATACTATGCAACCATCAAAAGAAATGAAATCTTGCCATTTGCGATGACGTGGATGGAACTAGAGGGTATTATGCTTAGCGAAATAAGTCAATCAGAGAAAGACAATTATCATATGATCTTCCTGATATGAGAAGCTGAGAAACAACGTGGGGGGTTTGGGGGGTAGGAAAAGAATAAGTGAAACAAGATGGGATCAGAGGGAGACAAACCATAAGAGACTCCTAATCTCACAAAACAAACTGAGGTTGCCAGGGGGAGGTGGGTAGGGAGAGGGTGGTGGGGTTATGGACATGGGGGAAGGTATGTGCTATGGTGAGTGCTATGAAGTGTGTAAACCTGGTGATTTACAGACCTGTATCCCTGGGGCTAATAATACATTATATGTTAATAAAAAAATAAAAAATTTAAAAAAAACATAAGGAGCTCAGTTTGTATGTGTTTCAGAGCATAAGTGAATATTTAAAGGTATTAATGTGTATCTTTTTTTAGATTATTTATTTATTTATTTATTTGACAGACTGAGAGGTCACAAGTAGGCAGAGAGGCAGGCAGAGGGAAAGGGGGGAGCAGGCTCCCTGCTGAGCAGAGAGCCTGATGTGGGGCTCGATCTCAGGAGCTTGAGATCATGACCTGAGCTGAAGGCAGAGGCTTAACCCACTGAGCCACCCAGGCACCCCTAAAGGTATTCATATGTATCTTAACAGATACTAAAGATCCTGGATTACAAGTGGTGGGCAAGCAAACATGTGAGCAGGAGCATTTGTGGACATTTGATAACTGATGTCCCTGTGTGTCCAGCAAATACTATATGTATACTTAATGAGATAATGTCCTGCATCTTCTCAACACTCTACTTCTTATTCTTAATCCTCAAAGTCACAGCAAATCCCTTGTGAAAAAAAAAAATAAAAACCAATAAGAAAGCATCCAAATTATATCTCCATTCCTTCAATTTTGCTACCAGGATTCTTGTGTGTTAATGGTTTTGTTTGGTCGCTTGGTTGGTTTGGTTTTCTCTGAGTTGGAGTTTGACCTGATAGATGTTAAACAAAAAGGCCACAACTTGTTCCTGTGATCATGCACTTCCTGACTATTTGTCTCAAGCTTCCTTCCTACATTAATGCTCTGAGATAACCAGCGACTTCATCTGGCAGTGGCCATCACAAAAGCATCATATTCTCAAATTCAGTGAACTTGCCTTGATCTCTCTCCTCACTTTATAGACTTCTGTTTGGAGGAATAGAAACTCAAAAAGAGCAATTATTCCACAGCAATTTGGTGGCAGGACTTGGACTAGAACCCAAGGTCTTGCCCTAATACCCAACACCTTGGCATGTCCTCTACTGAGATAGTCCATCTCTTTGCAACCTATCTCTCTCTTAAACTATGCTTTCTCAGAGTACCGGACTGGCTCACCTGGTATAGCATGAGACTCTTGATCTCAGGGTTGTAAGTTTGAGTCCTCTGCTGGGTGTACATATTACTTAAAAAATAAAATAAAATAGTACTTCACTAGCCCTGAAAAAGATCATGAGACTCCTAGGATGTGTCAAGAAACATGCACATTTGGCTAAGAGACCAAATTCTCTTTGATGAAAGACACCAAGAAGACAACTTAAGTTTGTATTATAACATTAGATTTCAGTATTATTTACTGGGTCCCAGTATTGCCACAGAACAGGCTGATGTATGAATAAGGTCTACTAAAGCGAATACATCGCATTTGTTTCTCATTACAACCAAGTTCAGATATCCTAAAACCTGGGCTGGGTGAGGAAGACCCCACACGGTAAAGTACAAACTTCAGAACGAGAGGGTGAAAAGAAGCCACATCAGAGAAGATAGGAAGTGTGGGGACATAATTCTGGAAAGAAAAGAAATGCAGGTGCTTCAGATGGGAGGG